TCCATGCCACGTAGCTGGCGGGTGAGCCCCGGAGCTCTCCCCGTGGGGGAAAGCTGCAGAGGTGAAAGGGGCGCGAGAGGAGCGACTCGGGTCCTTACCGGCATCAGCCTTGGAGCAGCCAGACAGCCGGCGGGGGGAAACGTTAACAAAACGGAGAATCAACTTCACACGCTTCTTTCTAGCCTGGTGTGAACCTTTCAGCAAAATCCAGGCGATGGGGGGTGTGCAGGGAGTCCATCAACCTCCTCCCGTCCTCGCTGGGCTGGGAAGCTGGCAGGGTGTGTGTCGCGGGAGCAGACTGGGGGGTCTCGGGGGCCCTGGCTTCACATCAGGGTTTGGTTTCTGTATCAGGTGAGTGTAACCTCAGTGAACTGCAGCTTCCGCAAGTGAGGTGGTTAAGTACGTTTGGTTTTAAGGGGTTTTGCTAGTCCCTTGTATCGGTCACGCTTCGGATGATGGGTGAAAAAGGGAGTGTTCCTGCAAGGAAGCTGTGCACGGTCTGTCTTTTAATTAAGCACATTGCTCTAGGAAGAGGAATATTATCCCTGAGATAACATAGGGATAAATCCCTGAGCACGTGTTTTCAGGCCTTCATCTCTTTCTGCTGATTAACAGTGTGTGCGGGTCCAGCTCCTTTCCAGAAAATGCTGAAGCTACCCTCAAAGTGTAATTTAAGTTGTAGTAAACCACTCATTCTTTGAAGATTTCTGTATTGGAACAGTAACACAGCTTCACTGTTTCGGTGAACGTTAGCTCGTGTATATGTAGCTCTGAAAAGTGTGAATGTGTTTTTCTAATTCCCATCTTCCATTGTTGTTACTTGTTGAGCTACGTAGCTCCTCCGCTCCTCTTGTCTAGAAGGAAAAGGCATGTTTGGGGTGGTGAGAACCCAGATACAGGAGTGTCACAGCCAAATCTGCTGAACCTGACCCGCTCTTCCAGCTCACTGTGTTTCACTTGGCATTGCGGTGCCTGCTTGGGAGCTACAGGGCCAGTGAGTTACTGGAAACGCGCCTTGTCTTCCTTCTCTCTTCGGAGTGGAAACTTTGTAAGGCTTAGTAGAAGTTGCTGAGAGTCACCTGGTAAATGTTGTGTAATGGCTCCCCTCCCCTTTTTGGAGGGCCCAGAGGGCTGGAAAGGATCCTTCTGGCAGCATCAGTTAGTGCTCAGAATTAAGAGAGTGCACCCCAGTGTTCTTCAGGCCACCTGTTCCTCCTCTTTGCCTTTCAGTCACGTTGTTTTCCAAAAGAGGTGGGATGCTCTGAGTCAATCCATATTAAATTGTCGTGTCTAGCTGGAAGTGTCACTTGAAATAAGTGTGTTTGCAGTGGGAGGCCTTTCTCTTATCCTGTATCTTGTATGGCTTCTCCCTCTATCTTTGCCTGTCATGATAAAACCGAACAAAGCTTTTACAGGCAGGAAAATGATACCACGAAGCTGACCAGTGCTGTGACACTTCAGCGTTGCTGTAATGCTGCCTCACCAGGGACTAAAAGCCCAGCAGTTGCTGCTTATTTTTAATTCTTTTCCCCTCTCTCCCTTTTAGCCTTCTTGCTTTCATCTGCGGTTCGGCACCAGAGTTCCCAGAGCACGTCACTGCAGCAAGGGTAATGTCAAATGACTTTCTGCTTTGCTTTTTTGCCCCTTGAAATGCTGACCACCTTTGGTGGGGGTGGGAGGGCAGCTTGTTTGTCCTTTGGAAAGAAGGCTCGTCTGCCCCCTTTGTCAGTCTGTCGCTTCCCAGTAAGTTTTGGACTCTCTGCCTACCTTCGGTCACCTTTGCTAGAAGGATGCTTCCATTGATTTGTGAGGTTAAGCAGCAAGAGTCTAGAGACAGATAATTAGATCCTCCACTGAGAAAAGGGCTGCAGTGTGGGCTCAGCCCATAGTAGACAGCAGAGAAGCCACTCAAGTCAGGACATTGCAAACTCCTCAACTGCAGAAAGGGCTTCAGCTGCCACTCATCTTTTTAGGTACAGGTAGTCTACTCCCCAGGCAAGATTCATCTGCCTGGAGTCTCCGATATCTGATAAATACTGAGCCTGCACTGCAGTCTTCATAAAATGTGATTAACAGCCCAAGCACTACAGGACACCGAGCCAGGAAACTTCAGGCTTCATTTGTTTCAGCACTTTGAGAGCTGCTTGTGTCTTATTTTGTTTCCTCTGCTGGGATTTCACGCAGAGGTACTTGGAGAGAGCTGCAGGCTGTGCTGCTGCTTGCTTTAACCAGGAGGGGACACTGCAGAAATAGAGAACTCCTGTGAGCAGCATCGGGGAAAAATGGCAAGATTTGCTCGTTCCCTCTGCGCTGCTGAAGGGTGCAGGGGGTGGCCTCTTCCCACCGGTCCTCACGCTTGTGGGAACACAGTTTGGATCTCTGCCTCTGTGACACAGCGCCCAACATTATTACTAAACCCCACAACAGACCAACGAAGCCTTGATGCTTGTGGTTATATACTTGCTTGCAAGTGCTTTAAGTTTCTGTTAAATTTTTTTTGAGGGTCACAAAAATGATGAGGGGGGTGGAACACCTCTGCTATGAAGAAAGGCTGAGAGAGTTGGGGTTGTTCAGCCTGGAGCAGAGAAGGCTTCAGGGACACCTTCTTGCAGCCTGTCAGTACTTAAAGGGGGCTTATAAAAAAGGTGGCGGCAAACTTTTTAGCAGGGCCTGTTGTGACAGGACAAGGGGGAACGGCTTTAAACTGAAGGGGGGTAGATTTATACTAGATATAAGGAAGACATTTTTTACGCTGAGGGCGGTGAAGCACTGGCCCAGGTTGCCCAGAGAGGTGGTGGATGCCCCATCCCTGGAAACATTCAAGGTCAGGTTGGCTGGGGCTCTGAGCAACCTGATCTAGTTGAAGATGTCCCTGCCCACGGCAGGGGGGGTGGACTAGGTGACCTTTAAAGGTCCCTTCCAACCCAAACTATTCTATGATTCCATAAATTAAAGCCCTTTGAGAGGTATTGCTGGGCATTACAGAGTAAACTGATCCAATGCAACTGTTGTGTTAATTTTGCCTTCTTTCACTAGCATCTGATGTTTTTTCCTGAATATTTTAGGCAGTTTGTGCATCCTGTGTTATTTATAGGAAGTGTGGATCTCAGTGCACAGGAAATTCTGATCTTGCCATTTGTGACGGAGACGGTATTTACTGAGCAGCACCTTTCTCTTCAAATTTCGGAAACCGATACCTTTCTGGTCATCTCATTGAGATCTGGGGTGAATCTCCCTCCTCTTTAAATCTAAGATTGTCTTTGTGGTATTGTAGATTCTTGCTTAATGAGGAACTATAATCTGATGTCTTTTGGTCATGTGTCTCTTTCGGAGTAAAGGCATTTGGCACCTCTCGGGATAATCTCTGAAAGCTGCAGGATGGGCCTTGTGCCTCCTTTCCCTGCCCCCTGAAATGTGTATCGCAGTTCTGATGAAAGTACTGTCCCTGGTTAGAGTGGTGCTTTTCTCTCCAGTTCTTTGGGAACAAATCAATAGTTTTTGTAACTGGCTCTTATGCAGAGATGTAAAGCTGCCTCTGGCTGCAGGATGGGCCTTGTGCCTCCTTTCCCTGCCCCCTGAAATGTGTATCGCAGTTCTGATGAAAGTACTGTCCCTGGTTAGAGTGGTGCTTTTCTCTCCAGTTCTTTGGGAACAAATCAATAGTTTTTGTAACTGGCTCTTATGCAGAGATGTAAACAGCTGCCTCTGGTCCTCCTTGTTGTTGCTCCTTGTCCTAGAAATCTTGAAAAACAGCTAATTATAAGCAAGTGCCATTTGCATTTTTTCTGCTCAAACTCACACTGTGAGTTTCACGTAGTGTTTCATTTTTGAGTCAATACCCTGTGGCACATTTGAGCAGCGTTAATTGTTGTTCAGCTTTGATGTTTTAAACGGGGTTCTCATGATTTAGTGCTGTCTTTGCCACTGTCAAGGAAGGCAGCATGTGTATGCGAATACCTGCGGTACTGACTGTAGAGGGCTTGAGGCAGTCAGGAATTAGTTCAGTTTTGAGGCAGAGGATCCCTCCCAGTGATAATCTTGAGAAAAGCAGAAAGAATCCGCCATGATAGCTAATGAGAACATGTTGCTGGCTGCTAGCTGAAACGTCCCTGGCAGTTTTCAGTCTTTCGTTCTGTATCAATACTGTAGCTTGCTTGCCTTCAGGCCCCCAGTTTATTCACTAGACTGAAGGTGCCATGTGTTGTGCCAGCCATATACCATTTTCAGTAAGTAAGAGAGCAACATCTAAGTATAGAAAGTAGAGCAGGCTTCAGGTAAGATGTCTTCTGCACAGAATTTGTCATTCAGGTGCTGGTGCAGTTTGAGTTGTGGTTGCTCCCGTGATTGTGTCAGTGCTGAATGATCCTAAAGGGACGTGTCTGTGACGCTTGGGAGTCCCCCGGGCTCGTCACCAGGAAGGTCGTCAGGGACTGATGCAACATTTTGAAATGGAGAGGCTCTTGTGTCAGCGGTACAGTTGCAAAGTGTTTGAAAAGAGATGTTGTTAAAGCGATCCTCTATCACAACAGTGGAAGCTACCCTTTCAAGAAGAATAAGGATTTAATTTTCACCTTTTAGCAAAGTATCTTGGTGCTCAAAGTCATCATGAGGAATGATGCTTGTGCTTGGCTGGATGGAAGCGGGACAGTGCATGTTCCTGCTCCCTTCTGTGGTCAGCCTGAACCAAGATAGGCATGGGTCTGAGCAGTCGTCTTAGATGCCTCTCGTAGTCCCTCCCCAGTGTGGTATTGTTGATTGTAGACAGACATGGTAATGGCACAGAAGAGGCTTTTGGGCTAAATGTTTGTGGTATTAAATGCTGAATCGTACTGGGGGTGGGAGAAGCCGTTATTATTGCCATTCAGGGAATGCAGCTGTAAGTGACAAAGGAAGAGCAGCCTCATAACTCTCCTGTAAAGAACCCAGCTGTGGTCTTAAGGCCCTCTCTAAACTATCTATTTAACAGAGAAGAGCTTCAAAAAACAGAGGAAAAAAAGGATGCATGTGAGTCACTCATGTAGTGCTCAAGGCTGGTTTAAGAATGCTCATTAGCCCTTCTTCCCCATCAAAGGCATGTTGCCTGCTCCCGGATGCTCCCCACTGTTGGGTAATTTCAGGGCTTTGTACTGGGTGCTGAAGTGGGTTGAGGAGCGTTAACGCGTTCAGCCTCTCAGCTGTGGTGGAGGTAACTTGGAAAAGCTTAACAAGAGCCTTTTATCTAAAACTCAGGTGTAAGCAAGGCTTAAGGTAGGTTGGTTTCCATTGGACTTGGTGACAAAATTCCAGTCTGTAAAAACAAGGCGGTGGAAAGTCACCGGTGGTCGCTGAGCTTGATCACCACTAGCACATCTGGCTGCAGATCTCAACATCAGGAACAAGTGATAACCTAGCCTGCGTGAATTTTCAGTCTGTTTCTTTCTGCACTCTTCCTTTGTTTCAAACCATGTCAAATAACATTCTGAAGTGGGAAGTAAAAAAAAAAAAAACAAATCCATTTCCCCATACTGAATTTTATGATAGGGTGGGAGTAAAGCAAACCAACCACTGAGGCATTTATCCCTTTTTCTTTAAGCTTGCTGCAATTCATGGTGGACCTAAATGACGTTAAGCCCTGGGAGCGGTGACTATGTTTGGTAGAGCATTTGCAGGCTGAACTCGGAAATGAGACCAAGTGTTTTCTGCAGGTTTTTGAACAGCCTTCTGATACGGGCTGCAGCTTCAGCACTTTTGCAGCATTTCTCGTCCCACTGGAGTGCTTTTGCCAGGTGCTGGGAGGAAGGTCTGGGGACTTTGCCATATCCAGTGGTCTCCATTGGATTAAGTCCTAGGGAGGTAACATGGCTTTTGCCTTGCCTGCCACCCTCTGTCTGTAACACTTAAGACTGGAGTAGAAAACCTCACCTTGCTCATGAGCTGCTACAAAGTGAAACGTGATGTGTGGGAAATTGCCTTCTGGCCCAAGTGGGCTTTGGGTTGAGTCTTTCATACTGACAAATCATTAAGTCTGTACAACTTCTGCTCCCCCAACTTTCTATTCCATCTCCAGCTTCTACCTTTTTTCCTTTCTTCATGTTTTACATCTCTTGACAATATCTGTTTCCTACAAGTGAATCCTACCTTATCATTCACAGACTTGTTGCCAAAACTTCTCTGACTTCACCCCCATGGCCTGAAGTGGAACTTCCAGATCCAGTAGAAGAAGCGAAGTACCATGCAGGTAAAGGTCTTAAGTCTCCAAGTGAAGACTAGCACTCCAGTATTGCCATTGGTGGCCTGATTGAGCATAAATAAGCGCCTTCAATGACTGGAGCTAGTTTTTGTTCTTCGCATTTTTGTCTAATTTCTGGCATGAGTTAATGTCACTGGACTTGTGCTCCAGCTGCTGGCATTGGAGATTTGGGTGGAATATGAGGTCTCCTTAGTTTATGGCAGCACAACAGGTTGTAACACCCCCAGAAGAATCTGACCTGATGTGATGTGTTGCTTTCTAAAGCATGGAACAAGCCTTTTGGACAGGGGAAAACAATTATTTTTCTTTTAATGGATAAATCAAAAAGCTAAAGCCAGCATAAGCAGTTGGATGGTGGGCACATCAGAGAGCTGGTGTATTTTAGTGCATGAAAAAGAATGCTAGAGCCAGCATAAGCAGTTGGATGGTGGGCACATGACAGAGCTACAGAAGTGTGACATAAGGCAATGAGCAGCTGGGAAGTGACATGACGTTAGTGAATGCATTCTTGTCTCCACATCTAGTCAGGACCGTTGACGCAGCCAGTGGTCCTCCTGAAAGGAGCACATGGACCGTGCAGTGGTCAGCCTCAAAAGTCAGCGAGTGAAGTGCCCGTAGCTGTTCAGCAGCCATCCTCACTGCTTAGCCTTACTAGAACATGTCAGTCTTCCACTTGTAACCAGACACAGGTTCCCCTGGCAGGTGGGGATGTGAAAATCAAATACAGAGAGGGCGTATGTGTCTAGCCTCATATTGCCCAGGTGGGGCTGTTGTCATCCAGACCGAGCTAGGGATGGTAGTGGGGAAGCCAACACACGTACAGGATGTTTCTCAGAACTAGGCAGTAATGAGCCCCAGTGGGTGAATTTCTTTTACAGTTGCTGTGGTGGTGGCAATTAGCAGTTGTGTGCTTCATGCAGGCAATGAGCTCCTGTGTTTATTAACAGGCAGTCTTACTGTCTCGTTGCGTTAGCCTCTGGGACATCTATGAAAGGCACCTGACTTCTCTGCTTCAGATGGGAGAGACCGAGGAAGTAAAGGAGAGGAGTTCTTTTACAAGGAGAGAGTGAGAGGAGAAAAGCCGAGTTGTGTCCACCTTTTTACAGATAGTCTCCTATCATCTGGCTGAAGTGCGTTAATAACCGTGTGAGTGATGTGCTTTGGAGAGAGCCTTCTGCTCCAGGTCTCCTCTCTGGCTGTTTTTCATCCTGCTTTTTATCTCCTTTGCGCTCCTGGGATTGCTCATGTGACAGATGAGTGTTCTGTCCCTGAGCATGATTTCACCCAGTAGTGGACCATAAACTGCTCAGTTGGATTTGCTGAAGCCCTGCGGTGAACAGGGTCCCATGTTCCCCTGACTGATTCACATGGGATCCTCGGGGCCGCTGTGATTTCCATGCCTTGTAACCTCCTACTGTTTATGACCTTGCATCATTATCTCCTGGCTGTGCTTATCCAAAGCAAACAATAGCGAGAGTATTTGAATTCTCCCTTCTGTTTTCCCACTGGCTACGGAAACAGCTATGGATATTTTAGGAAGGGTCGCTCCACATGGTGCTGAGATACAAGCCATACTAACAATCAAATGGTAACATCACTTGATGTTTCCTGTCACTAGAGATGTTTGGAAGAGTTATCAACAGCTTCAGAGCCCAAGTACAATGAAGAAAATGTACCTTTTTTGGTTACAAAAAGATGAGAAAGCCCTGTGGGTAGAATGTTGAAATTTGACAAGGAAATAACCCTTGTTAGAGCGTGACTGTGTTTTTTGCTAAGAGAAAATTGTAGGCCAGCATTTTGAATTTTTGGTTTTGAAATGTTGACCACAGCACTACTGATATACCTGGATCAGCAGTTTAGAGCTGGAAGAAATTTATTGTACCCATTGTGCCATTGAGGGCATAACAAAGAGAAGGGGTTTGTATTTTTCTCTGGACTTTTTGAGGGGACCACTGTGAATCAGAGAAAAGAGTACACAGTGGATTTTTCTTCTGGGACAGCAATTCCAGCAACACAGAAGCTAAACTCTTCATCGTAGTGGGAACTGCAGCAACTACTGCCTTGCAAATAATTTCTGTTCTTACCTCTACTTTTAGTAGTTTGCATCTGCTGGGTTGAAACTTGGACACTTTCAGAGTGTTCCTGTAAGGGCTGGGTTTGGTTTGACTGGCTGCTAAATTCTTGTCTGTCCCAAATGGATGTTTTGTTTACATTCCAAGAAAAAATGATTCAGCCGCTTTTAAGGACAATGAAGAAAATCTATTTTTCCAGTTACAGAAAAGTTGTTCTTTTTCTGAACAGCTCAGGAGGGTAGAAAGCTGCTATTTGGCAGTGGAATGGCACTCATTAAGCAATACCTTTTGATGTTCCCATAAAAATTAGTTTTGGCTTCACTGCGCAGGAAGCTGATCACAGAAAACTGAGTTTGTTCATGTGCAGGACCTCGTCCCTGTTATTTGTACTGCTCCCGGCACCTGCTCTGCATGCATGTGCATATGGGGAGAGATTTTCTGGAAAAGAGTGAGGGAAAGGTCTCTCTTGTCTTTGCTGCAGGTACAAGTTCTCAGGCCAGGCTTTGTTAGTATGCTGGAGCCCTTTTTCCTGTGTACATTGCCAAACTCTCCATGATGTTCCTGTGCGCCTTACATAGTATTCAGAGTCCTAGGCCTTCTGCATATGACTTGAAAATTGAGAGGAGCTCCCCTCCAAATGTAGGATGCATGGACAAGCGCTATTTTCTGGGATGCTTTATATCTGAATACAGTGCATTTTAGGATGCCTAAGAAATAGGCTGAGAAGTCAACAGTCTTAGATTAACTGCACAGTATATATACTAGGTGTTTACTTATGCATGAGTTTGCCAGCAACTAAAATACAAATAAGTCATTAAGTTGACGAAAGGGAGGCTCACGCATCTTAGGAAACAACATTGCTGTTGATCCTTGCTTAAAGATTCCCAGAAGATAAGAGTTTTGGTGGGAGAGCAGCATGGCTGAATTAGTTTTGAACAGCACTTCACACCTTGCTGGGTTTTCTACACTGATTCCTTCCCTGCTGTTTGCCAACAGAAGTGGTACAAAAGGTGAACAAGATGATCGCAACGGGGCAGTACGGAAGGCTTTTTGCTGTGGTCCACTTTGCCAGCAAGCAGTGGAAAATAACCAGTGAAGACTTGATTATGATGGACAACGTACTGGAGGCTGAATGTGGAGACCGAATCCGGATGGAAAAGGTGATGTGCCATGCTTCCACAGTGCCTGTGATGCCGTGCTGTGTATGGGGCCAGAGCAAATTGCCTGCGAACATTCCTTGAGGCAAAACCCATAACCAGTTTTTAAAAACACGTCCTGAAGAGCTCCTGTCGGATCTCCCGTTCTTACTCCAGCTATTTGCTTTGCCTTAGTTTTGTTCCAATTTCAGTTGCTCTGTTAGTGATAATATTATTGTGATTTCTGTTGAACAGGGTTGGAATGAATTGTGCCAGACTCCGTTAGGAGACAGATTTTTGTTGTACTAACTTCATCCAAAAAAAGAAAATTACAGTTGTTGTTTCTAGAGACAGCAGCTAAAGACTCTGTTTACCTTGAGACTCCAACACCCAAAATACTTGCAGTACTCCCAGAGGTAGTCACTGCTCAATGCTTTGCAAGATCCTTATCACGCTGAGTGTGTTGGGTGGAGGGAGAGGGATGGTGTGTGTAGGAGAGAATTGCCAAGATGCAATTCAGTATCTTTATCCTTAGCCTTGGTTAACTAGCAGGAACTTGTAGAGGCTCATTAATCCAAATCTTAAATGAAAGATTATGAAGTGGGGTTCTGTTGGCTTAATCTTAATGTTGGTTGTTAGAGCCAAGCAAGCAGTTAAGGAGCCAAACTGGGCGATTTTTCTACTCATCCATTGCTTTGAAGCCCAGTTTTGAGGCCGCGTTTTAGGCATGCCTTCAGCTGTGTCCTGCATCCTTGTATACGACAGAAAGAGGAGTGATTTGCATGGAGTAGCCAGCTAGGAATGCAAAGGTCTGGATGGGAGTGAAGAAGGTGAAAAACTTGCCTAACCACCATAACCCTTTGGGGATTTCACTGGCAAGTATCTGTCTAAACAAAAGTCAGAACATCTCATGACCGTTTATGTGTTGCTTTTAACTGCTGCCATACAATTAGTGTGGGGAAGGAGGCGGTCTCTAAGAAATGCTGCCTCTTCTCACCATATCCTCTCTGGTCCTTTAGTGGTTGAAATGCCCTGAAACAAAAGGGCTGGTCCCTGGGGGTGGTCAGTCTCCCCCCAGATGTTCATTTCTTTATTGCCCATCTTGAGGCCTCATGGAGGAGAATGAGCAAAGTGTTTCTCTACTGGGATATGTAGCAATTGCTATAAAAATCCAATGATTTTAGGAGCTGCCATTCATTCAGATCCCACACAAGGCACATTGTTATTCTTCCCTGTATTGCTTTTCATATCTTTTACAACTGTTGGTGAGCCAGAACAGAAAGGTTCAGTGTGTTTTGATCAGTGTGAAAGATACTTCTAAAGTATGTTTTAGTAGGATAAGCTCTCCTGGAAGACTGTCTGTCTGTTTAATGAATCTGTTTCTTGCCTGTTAGCTGCCTTTCCCCACCGTCCTCCTCTAGTAACAGTGTCAGGTTTGAATTGTGTAAAGGCCTATTTTTAAGCAGTTTGACTCCTTTATGGTGACTGTAGAATTTGGAAGTTATTGTCTGCATTTCTACTGGGACAATGAACCGGTGATATATGCCTGATTTATTTTCCGTAGGTTTTGCTGGTTGGTGCTGACGACTTCACGCTTGTCGGAAGGCCGCTCCTGGGGTAAGATGTCTCATACAAGAATTGTCTTCAAGACAATACTTGTACTTAATTGTAGCTTTAGGGCTCCTACAGTCCCTGAAACTGAAGAGAAACCTGGATTTATCAGCACTAGCTTTTTTCCCAGCCCCGTGGCTTTTGAAAGAATCACCAATAAAACAAGCTCATCAGCCTCTGCTGACTCTAACCATTGCTGCAGTGCCAGGATAGAGCAGCAGTACCCATTTCTAAGGTAACTGTAGGATATTCACCTCTGTTGGGTTGGATCTTTTCCCATGGTATAAGCCTTGCACAAACTAGCAGTAAATCTTGCTCTTCAACATCTTACTCCCTTACCCTAATTTCGGTGATAGTCATCTTGGAATAACCCAGAAATCCTTTCCCATCCCTTAATCCCTTAATTTGACTTGGGTTTTTTAACCCATTTCCTTTTGCCCTTGTCTTAACCCAGCAGGCCTTAATCTTAACTTTAGGGTTCCTAATTTTCCCTTCCTCCTAGTCACATAGTCCAGCAATCACAGAACTGGGGAGGAGGAGTTCACCCCCTTGGCACCATCTCCATCCCAATGCTGTGAGACTTGCTATACAAACTGGCAGAACACCTGGTTCTTCAGCCTTTTCTTTACCAAAAGAAAGTGGTGTTGTGGAGCAGGTGTTATTGCTCAGCTCTTAACACTAGCCAGAAGCAAAGTCATGAACTGTTGTTTCCCCAGGACAAGAGGTTGCAAGTGCTCTTAAGTATCTGGTCTGGTTGCAGGCTAAACCGCGCATTTACATGTTAGCTTGAACTGCAGCAACTTTGGCAGAGGATGGTCAGATAAGGAGGAACTTGTATGTCTGAGAATTATTTCTTGGTGGCTTGTAGATTCAGGTTAGAAATACCACATGGTTTCAGATTGGTTTCACTTCTGAGTGTTTTCTCTGGTACCAGGGGGCTGTTGGTATTTAAGAGTTACTTGTAACATGCTTGCATGGTTGATAACATGACTTTAGTTGCACTGGGGGTTAACTGCCTCGGGTTCACTGCGTTAGACAGGATTTTGAGGGCTGCCAGTCCTTTTAACATCACTGCAAATAGATCTGGAATAGCAGATCCTTGGGAGTCTTTGAATTATTGCCAGATATTGCACTTGTGGAAGATTTTAGGAAGGGGAATCTCATTATTAGCACCAGAAATGTCATCTTGCAGAAATTCAAATAAGAGCCAAAGTTCTGCAGATGGGGATATGCCGTGTCAGGTAGTTTAGGAGCACCATCCTTCACCTGGCTCTCTCAACTAGTGGCCCTGGGGTGGTGGTTCTTTGCAACTCTCAGTTTGTGTGCTGGAGTTGGTATGTGGCCCGAGACCCAGGAGCTCTGGGACAGGAAGAAAAACAGCTCTTTGGTTCCTGCAAGTGCTCTAAGTGTGTGGAAAGCGTTGTCAGTTGCTTGAAGCAGACCAAACTGCACATCTGCCAGCGTTAGCTTGAACTCCAGTAACTTTGGCAGAGGAGGATCAGCGGGAGGAGGAGGCGGCTGACCAGGCAGAATGAAAGGCTGGTGGGGAGGTGCCATCCTCCCTCCGAGCTGTAGGGAAACCTCCCGAGTCCCCAGCTCTCCGATATGGACTGAGGAAAGGAAAGCAGAACCCAGCGTGTCACAGGCAACGTGGACTGCAGTTCTTTCACATAGTTGCCAGTTGTGCCTAAACCACAAACATTTTGGAGGGGAGATAAGAGCTTGGATGCAAAGGCGGTTTTGTTTTTCTGTTGTTTTAAAAATAAACACATCAGTGAAGGCTTGCATCAGTGTCTGCATAAGTTTATTACAGCTGCACTCCCTGTTCAAACTTGGAGGTGGGTAGGAACTTGTCCTGTTTTGGACAGATGATCATGTTTTAATTTTCTGTAGCAGTCAGATACCTCCCAAGATGACAGTCCTCTAAAGCCTTAAAAAACAACAGTGCAACAAAACATATCTGCGTGGCAGAGGCTATTCTGGGAACTTCTAGCTGGCTTCTGCTCTGGAATCTGTTGGGTTTTGTGTTTGTTCAAGTAACTTGCTGTCTGGTTGATTGGCACAAGGGTATCAAGCAGTATGCAGCTGTACTTTGTTTAGCTGTATAATGCAGAAATTGTTGTACACTTTTAAAGCTGTGATTAGAAGTGAGCATAACCTTGACCAGGTTTGCATTTCAGGCCATCACTTGAGTGCCCTCAGCTGTTTTAGACCTGAGTGAAATGAATGGTGCCTCTATGAAAAAGTTTAGCTTATTTCTAGACAAAGTACAGTTGATGGGAATCTCTTCCTCTAGATGAACCCTGCTCTTTCTCCTGCTACCTGCCCATTTTTGCAGTGGCTTCAGTGGAAATGACAAAGGGCCTTGGACCTGTTCTTTTCCCAGACAGCCAGGCTGGGATTCAGTTACCTTCTGCAGGGAGCGAGCGAGCTTGTCAGTTGAAATTATTACCTCTAAGAGTTACGATCCTTTGGGGTTGTAGGTTGCCTGGATCTTTTTCACTGCTTAATGACAATAGCTTTCAGCCCAACTTAGATCTATGAGATTTCAGATCTATGAATTTTTCTTGCCTCCTGCAAAAATCTGATAGATGTGCTTTGTCATGAAAGATTTTGCTGCTGAAAGCAGCAGGCCTGACTGTCTATGTCAGACTCTGGGAAATGTGTGACCCCCTTTTTATTTTTATGGACATTCCAGTCATACCTAAAACATTCGATAAAGATTTTCTTTTTTTTCTTGGGCTCTATTTTGCTGAGAACTTTTCTGTTCTTATGCACTTCACCAGCAAGTTGGTTTCTGCTGCGCTTCAGCCTCTCAACCAGCAGGTCCTAGTGCTTTGTCCGACAGAGAAGGACTCACGGGGGCCCATTGGCCTTGAACTTTGATTCACAGGGTGAAGCCATGCTAGGATACTCAACTGTCTCAACAATACCCTTAAAGTTTTGCTTGAAAGCATGTCAACATGTATGAGCAATGAGGGGGGACACTTATTTACAGATCTGTGTCAATGTTTTTCCTTTTGGCTGGATACTACTCCTACTAGCCTAGGACAGCTAGTGCGGTCCAGGGGTGAGAGCTGTATCAGGGACAGCTTGGCTGTGCTACTGCGAACCCTGGCTCTCCTGAGAGCAGCACAGAGATTTCAGTGACCGGGTCACTTTATCTGGCCTGGCTGCTTTCCAGTTTTCCCATGTGATCATCATTAGTGAGTTTCTTACATGCCTTTACGGTCCAAGCCTGTGAGAAGTCAGTGGGAGTTTAGCTTTCCCTTTGCCTTCAGTGGGCAGGAATTAGACCCAGAAAGTACAGCTCCCTAATTATAGTGGTAAAACACGGCCAGCCCCTGGAGTGCAGTTCACTTTTTGGTTTCTTTCCTAGCGTTGCAAAGCTTGCTGTGTATTTCAGTAGTGCTGTTGGATCCTATCACTGGGCTGAATCTGGATAACATCCTTTAGCTGGGATGTCAGGGTCACCCAGTGGTCTCTTAAAATCTAGATTATCTTGCACCTATTTTCTTCTGGGCTAGTCACTAAATACAGATACATCAGTTTTCTCCTCTGGCTGTCCTTTCCTCCTCCCTCAAGGATTCACTCTCTGATATATATATTACACCCCAGAGGGTAAAGGTTAAGAGAGATGGTAAACATCTCAAAGCCTTTGGCCTCCTAGTGACCTTGCTGGAACAGTTAGGCTAGATGGGCTTCCCCCCTCTACCCCCCTTAAGTGCAGACAGAGTCGTTTGTCAGGAAAATGTTCTTTAAATGTCTTCCGGCAGCAAAGTGGGCATGCTAATGAGTTTTTAATGGTATTCTGCAGTGACGCTGCATGAAAGAGTGTCTCTTCCTCCTCCATTGTGGCTGTTGATTAAAACCACGCTTTCCAAAGCTTTAGTCTGGCTCTTGTCTGGAGGCACTTATCTTCCCAGAGAGGAGTTGTTGTGCAGGCAGGTAGCTGGTCCTCCAGTGCGTGTTTCAGACCACCTTGTTTTCTAGCTTTGGGGTTTTTCAGATAGCAGCTAGAAATCCCAGCCCTCTTTTTTTTAACTCCAGTGGGACTTCTTCTCTCGGAGCTCTGCGGAATCCCTGGGTGGGCAGGAGGTGTGTTTGTGTGTGTTGGTAAGGTAATGTGGAGGGACGAATTACTCTGTGATTTTACTCACCTGTGAAGGAAGTACAGGCTATATTCTTCTCTTCATCTCCATCCTCAGGGAGGGAGGATGTTTACTTGCTGAGAATTTCCATATGTAGAAATGAGATCTAGAAATAATTCAAGTCTTTGAGTGGTCTCACCACTCAACCTGAACTCCCCCAGCTGCAGGGCGGGGAGCAGTATGTGAAATTCTCAGTGAGTCCCCGTCTTCTCTTCCAATTTGGGGTAAACAAGCAGGACAGACCAAGAGTGGGAGGCAGAAGAGAGGCATGTGGGAGAAGAAGTGACTTGCTCCAGCAGCAAATTTAGCTGTGCTTCCTGCTAGAAACGGTGGGCCAAATCTCTTTTCACTGAGGCTTTGCCAGGACTTACTCAGGTGAGCAAGGTGAGAAGACTTTCTTTCTGTGATGGACTTCTGTGTTGACCAGCATAGCACAGGAGAAGGGGCCATGGGTGGGTTTAACCTGTACCATAAGCAAAGTAGGACACATAAGATCATGTGAACGTGCCAGGGGAATTTATCTTACTGTAATCCTACAAGTTCCTGCAGGTTCATCTTACTACTGCCTCCTTAGCTGTTTCTGATCTTATCCCTCACATGACAGAGAGGTACTGCCCTGCAAACTATCACATCACTTGGCTGATCCATGTACAGCACCTTGAGGCTTTTGTTTTTGCACCATGAAGCCAACAACCTGGAAGGAGGGAAATCTGTCATGGTGACTTTGTAGTTCCTGTGGATCTGGGCTCTGTAAGGCAGGGTGTGTTATCTGTGTGTCGCTTTTTCCCCAGAAACCTGCTCACCGATAGGAGGAGAATGTAAATAATTAAAAAGTGATACTTTTAAAATTTATTTTTAAGGAAAGATCTCGTCCGCGTGGAGGCTACTGTGATTGAAAAGACGGAGTCATGGCCAAAAATTAACATGCGCTTTTGGAAGAGGCACAACTATCAAAGGAAGAAAAGTAAGATGAAAAGAATACAGAGCTTCCTTCCTTGCTGTTTTGTTGCTGGATCCGGGAGGGGGGGCTATCATAACACAAGGGTGGTGCCTGGGGAAGGAGGCTCATTCACCGTATCCCCAGGACCCCTCATGGCACAGCACCTCTTTCCCAGCCCGCTGCCCCAGGTGTGCCCACTGTGTTCGGAGCATGGTGACTTAATATTCCCTTGGTCCTGCACCCTTTGTTAGGTGGCCTTGCAAAAGACCTTGCTGAAAAAAAATATCCCGGGCAGAAAAGCAATCTTGTTCTCTTTCCAAAGCCTTAAGTGTTGGATGTGTAATCACAGATATTAGCAAGTCTTAACAGTATCCTGTGGCAGGCTTTTGGATTACCAAGTGACTGCCCCTTCTCAGATATGACTGAGGGAGAGAAAAATTATGACCCTTTTTTTTTTTTTATGGAACGGATGCTAAAACCTTGACCAGCCTGACACAGGCCCACGGGAGCTCTGCCTAGACCTCTTGTTCATGCCATACCAGTGGTATGCAGCTGTCCTGCCAACGTGGCAGCATCTGCCAGCACACCCCCTCCTAGAAACCGTCACGCCTTGGCATGCCTTAGACTAATGTAACTAAGCCAGCAGGAGCCTTCCGAAAGGTACGCAACGGTTTTGTGCTGTCATCTGATCTTTTTTTTTTTTCCTCTTTTCATTCTTTTTCAGTCATCATGAACCCACAGACTGTCCTTCGGATAAACACCATAGAAATTTTCCCCTGTTTGTCATGATTGATTGATCGGCTGTTGTGTGGCTTAGGTTTATTATTGCTTTAGACAATTATGGAAATAAAACTGCCTTGTCATTGGAAAGTTCTGGACTTCTTGCTGTTGTTGAAATGGAAATCTATATGTACTTTCTTTTAAAAAAAAAAACAAAATGAAATTTTTTTTTAAACTATTATTTCAGCCTTGATGGTGTTTATTTGTCAGGAGTTTTAAACAACCCAGGATCCATTGCTAGCTGTCAAGCTGTTTCATGCCAACTGGGTCTACCTTTGCCTGCACACCTCTCTATGTACTTTAGGAATTCAGGCTCTCAGCTGTGTCTTAAAAATCCCTTGGGCTTTACCGGTTGTGGAAGAAAAGGGCCATCCACCTCCCCAGTTCCAAAGGTGAGGCTCTGAGCCTGGAAGGCAGAATCTATGTGTATAATTAGTCAATTTAAAGAGCCTGTTGCTGTGCTTAGTTATTCGTGTCCTTGCAAGTTTCCCTACCCTGGGACTGTGAGTGTACTGAAGGCTAGAAGAGAGGCAAGCGTGTTTGGGTGAGCTGATTTGCCCTCTGGAAACACTCGTTGCTCTCCACAGACTGCAGTTACATCGCTGTGAATAGGTGAGGTGTTTTTAAGAGTGCTCAGTGTAATTTTGCCCCCTGTCCCTTTTCCTCTCCTGACAAAAGCCCTGCTGCTCTGTTCATATAATTCCTGGCATTGTATAGCTTCAGGGAATATCCTGGGGTACAGCGTGGCCCACAGCAAACATGGGACTGAAGAGAGCGGTGAAACAAGATGACTGCAGGATCCCAAACCTACTCCCAGATCATGTTAAGTGGTGAAAATCCTTCTTAAAGATTAGCAACAGGAGATGCAGCTGAGAAATTACCCTCTTAAAGGTGAGCCAAAGAGTCTATTGCATAGCAATAAATTGTCTGTGTGTATAATACCATCAAAATAACGGATACCAGTGGCTCAGGAGTGATTTCATGCCCATTTCACAGGCTTGGTGTTTGACCTACTGAGTATATTTTCATGTCTAGGTCTCAGTATTTTCTCTCCACTTCGTCTGCAAGTTGAGCACTGCCACTTACTGAGCAGCATGTGGGAGGCCAGATTCAGCAGGCTTATTCAGCCAAGGTCTGCATGTGTTTCTGGACTGTAATAACAACCAGGAGGAGTTTCCTAGAGCTTTCAGCAGGCTCTCAGGGTAGCTATCAGATACCCTACAGCTACCATGAGAAGTGATAAGTGGGCCCTGCTCACCTTGTCACTTCTCTAGGGAATACCTTGCTTCAAATGAGTCAGGAGGAAAGTCTGCATAGGGGTGTCCTTAGGCACCCCCACTGTGACTCCTTCATAGGACCAAGGTTGCCCGCAACCCTGTACTGAAGGAAATGCTAGTTTTGAACATAACTATATCTGGGGTTTGTCCTGTTCCTGTCTTTCAAATCTCACAAGTCCATATAAACCTTCAGGAGATCACTTTAGGTGCCATAAACAGCAAGCTTGATGGCTCAGGCTGCATTTCATCTCGCCTGACTTCAGCTAGAAGAAAGATCCAGGTGTGTGTGGGTTAAGCTAGCTCTCTAGTCGCTGGAGAGAGATGGTCATCTGCAGAGGCTGACTCATCTCTTCCCCTTTAGGACAGTCTGGCAGGAACAGCCCTTGGGAGATGCTGTTCCTTCTGTACTGACTGTACAAGGAGGTTGGACACCTAGATTTTAAACAGCTAATGGTAATATGAAGGCAGGCACCTTTCTGCGACCAGCTTTGATCGTTGCATCCTTGTTTCCAAGCTCTTACACATGGAAGGCAGTGGGGGGACCTCTCCTCCAAAAATCATCTCCCACCTCTTCCCCCCACCCCGCAAAGTGGCTCCAGTTCTGCGCTGGGACCACAGATCCCAGCAGTAGCAGTGAGTCGCAATATGTTGTGGGCTGGCATGAAGACTGTCACAGCGACTGCCTTCCAGTTACAGATTGTTCACAGTCCACAGCGGAAGCAGCATTGCCAGCTGAAGCAATTTTACTGGAAACCTCACAGTCCCTCTGTGTTTCTTAAGGCATGTGAGTGCTGGGACTAAGAAACAGCATGCACGTCTTGGCTTTAAGAGGATGTAGGGGGAATTTTCTGTCCTTCCTGGTTATGGAGAAACCCTTGAAAATAACAAGAGAGACTTCAAGGCTCAGAAATTTGGAAGGAAGAGCCCAGTGTTGGTTCAAAAGAAAAAGCAGATGTCTTAAGTTGATCTGTAAAACTGGTCCCCCCAAAAAAGCCTTTGGGAAATGTAATTCTAATCCAAGTGAGATACTATATGAAATTAGGGTGGCTTCACAGCATTTTTGGGGGAGAAAAATGCAGGAAGGGAAAATTCAACCAACGTCAGGAAGTCCTGGGTTTTGTTTTGAAAGTTTTATAATATAAAATTAGAGCAAAATATTCAGGTTTTATTGAAATGATGCATTCAGACTGTGGCAAAAGAGGATTATTTTTGACATTTTCTTCAGGGGAATTTAAAGAAAAAGTTTTTTGATGTTACAAATGGAAGCAGAAATCCCCAGTTCTTCTCCAGAGTGAAGTCGCGAGTCTCCATTTGGCTTCACGTGTTGGGGGGTGGCTGCTTGTGATCCTCTTTCTGGCTACTAAATGTGGTTTGCCATGCTTAAATAGTTTACGAGCAGAAATTTCTCAACAAACAGGCTTTTTCTCTTTCTGGCTACTAAATGTGGTTTGCCATGCTTAAATAGTTTACGAGCAGAAATTTCTCAACAAAGCAGGCTTTTTTTTTTTTTTTTCCTAAGCACTGATTCATAGTGGAAATTTATCTGTTAGGACAAAACATCTTGTTGGGCAGGACGTCAGATCAGGGTGGAATTTGAGAGATGCTTTGTCCAGAGCCTCTAAAGATTAGGCATCCACGTGGGTTAGACGAGAACCAGGCCTGAGCTCCTGCCATCCAGCGCCTCTGAAGCAAAACTGCAGCGTTTGTCCCCCATAATCTCCCCTCGGTGCTGTTTGACTTTGTAAGTGAGGATTCTCTGCCCGGAGGGTGGCTCGAGAGCCGGAGCAGAGGGCATCTGTCTGCTCTGAGTCAGACCCGAATTCCAGCGCGAGCTCCCTGCCCGCTGGCCACAAAACCACTGGCTGTTCTGGTTTCTCTCGTGCTTTCGAAGAATGTCGGTAGGACTCCGCTTCATTCCCCGGCAGAAGGACAACAGGCTTTGCAACGCTGACATTTTTCCACAATAAGGAAGCGTTGTTTTCTCGCCAGCCGGGCTGCCGAGAGGTTTGCTCAGAAAGAGTTGTCGGGAGGTGCCGCTGCTTCTCTGCCAGCTCTGCTTTGGCCTCGCGTCGCTCTCGCATCCCCCTGTTTTGAGCGTGAATGCCTGGGTGCAGCAGACCGGATTCCTCGCTCTGCTGCTCTCCGGATCCCAGACAGACCGTGCAGTCCCCCCAAGACACCCCTCGCTCCCCCTTTCTGTTACCTCTCTGGAGGAGCGAAGGGAGATGTTTAGCCAAGCCCTAATTAAGTGTGCGCCGTGGCAGCAAACGGTACGCGCTGTTGCACAAGAGATCAATGAACTGCTGGCCTGGCTGAATGTCAGCCCAGCCGTGACCTCATCCTTCGCCCTTTTAAGAGCAATGGACCGTGGCACCTTAATTCATTTGGTGAACCCGCTGGCTGTGGGGGCTTTTTTCCTACCCCTCAGATACAGATGCTTTCAAGAGTTGCATTTGGAGCGAGGTTTCAATCATTAAAAGGCTAATGCTGTTCTTCTAAACCCTCCAATGGGATGCGATGGTCATGGCTGCTCGGATGCAAAGTCTGCAGCTTCGAGGTGCTTGGATTTGGGTTTTGCATCCTGACAACAATAAGAACACCCTTGTGACTGAAGGGGAAATGGCCCACGCTGGTCAGCCTACAGGACAGCTTTCTGCAGCGTATCTCCAGAGCTCTGTCTGGACGAGTTTTAAATTACCTACATGATGGGGTTCCTCTTCCTTCCCTTGGCAAGTTGTTCTGTGTTCTAAAATAAGCTTCACAAGCAAAGCCATTTCTCACAGCATGAAAGCTTCCTGTTGTGAGGATCCATTATTTGTGCAGCCTAATGAAGTGTGATAGACATTGTAAGCGTCAGCGTCCTTTCTTCCTGACGGCCAGCTTCTGCGGAAAAACAAAAGTGCACGAAACTCTCTCGTTGGGACCCAAGGGCCAACAAAGGGATTTAGCAACTTGGTTATGATATTTGGATCTGCTTAACATTCACGCGCTCTACCGCGTCACGAGCTGCAGGCATTTATCCTGTTGAAGTGGCAAGGCAGCTTGAAAAGTTCTTGGGACATGTCATTCAGGCCTCTGAGGTGGAAGGGAAATGCTGTTAATATGCCCCTTTGGTGTGTTTTTTTTTTCCCTGTCAGCTTTGCGAAGGTGTCTTTGAACTCTTACGTGGAGCCAGATTTATTTTCTCAGCATGGTCTGGACACGTTTTGGCTGCGCGTCGAAATACGCTTTAGTGGTTAGAAATCAGCAACAGATAGAATGTAACACCAGGAAACTGTGTTGATTTGATTTCTCTTGCACTAGAGGTTTTCTTGTCTCTTTTGACCAAAAAAATAGCCCCTTCATTAGGAAGAGAAAGGGAACGCTTCACTGGGTCCAGGCTGATACAGAGCCCTTAGGGAGAAGTCAGACAGCGGCTAGCAAACTTGGGCGTGAGCAAGCACTGGGGCTAGGTGCCTTTCATCTATTTTCTCTCTCCCTATTTATAGAACATGGAAGAAGCGATTGGGATCCATGTCCTCGCTCCTGCCGCGTCTCTGCCTGGCTGCTAATGCAGCATTCGCACGGCTGAAGCAAAGTCAGGGTTTGATTTCAATAGGAACGGAGCGAGTCTGCAAAGCCGCTGAGAAAGGAGAGGGCCCTGAAGTCTGAGAGCACTTTTTAATTGCATGCTGGCTTTGCTATAGCAACCAAAAATATGTTTATTGACAGGGCGGCGTGGCTTCAGTTATATTCTTGGAGAGCGTTCCCTGACGGTCCCATCCGACATTAACTCTCAAGAGGCATGCTAGCAGCGAAGCTTGCCGCATATGATACT